GGCAGGGTTTTGTCGGTGATGAGATGTTCACCCCGCAGGGTGCCCCACACCTTGCCTCCTCTTGGACCTGCCAGGCCGGATGCTGGATGATGTTCAGACTCCAGGTGCCGGAAGATGTTCGCCAGCAGGAAGCTCTCCTCCCAACATCGAAATGAACGACCCAGATCCTGTTTGAGGAAGGCCAGTAGGAAGGCCATGGTCTTTCCACAGGCCATACCCTCCACTTCCATGAGGACATTGGAGGGAGGGTACAATACATTGTTAACTTTTTTGCTGGCACGGGGTGTCCCCTGGGTCCCACGGAGGCCAGCGGACGCGGTCGGGGGTTTGAGATGTTGAGGATGCTGAAACGAGGAACACAAAGCCGCGAAAACATGCGAAAACGCCTTAGTCCATTGACGTTCCAGCTGAAGAAGGAAGAATGAATGCAAATGGCTTGCTGTGCAATCTTGTTACTGTAGTTCTCTGGGATTTCCTGAACTACGGGTGACTGAAGCACCTCAGCCGATCGGCCAGTGCCTGGGCGCCACACGGCGCCAGGTTTTCGCCACGGTCTCCCCCCTTCACGCGCACGCGCACGGTTTGGGCGCCTTCCCCTGCCCTCAGTTATGAAGAAGAGCGGCGAAGAGCCTGTACTTCCACGGCGCAGCAGTTCCCCGACAGGAAACTCCCATGGGCAGCGAAGGTGAACTGGTTGGTGAAGCGTTCAGGAATTGAATCAACGTCCCTTCACGATTCAAGCAGATAGGGATGTTCCTTTGGACCACATGCTTTGGGAATATTGAATATGGCATGAACAGGATGTGGGTGCGACTCACGGGCCCTCTTCATTCCAGTAGCTGTTGCAGGACAAACTCCTTGCGGTGGCGCTCAGAAGTGACCTTATGAGACCGAAACCTCTCGTATGGTTCTGGAGTGGTGATCCAGGTGATGCCCGCACTGAATCAATCTGAATTACAGTACTTCATTAATTAGACCACGAAGAATTCGGCAGCGGAACGGAGGTGAGGGCTCTTACAACAGCTGATGCCATGCCAATGCCGGAAAGGGACAGATGGGCCCCGACTCTGGATCTGGGAAAAACACATACGAGCCGTTCAATCATCAACAGTGGTCATGGGGGTTTGAAGTACAACTTTACCTGTGGTGACCTTAATGTTGTCACTCAACTGTTGTCACTCATGTTGCTGGGGTTGTCACTCATTTTTTTGAGAGCCACTCGATTGTCACCGTCATGGGACATGTTTTGCTGTGTTGTTTCCATCCTTCTGAAAAACCGACCTGCTTGTACTAAGAGTCTCCCGCCGGTGCGTCGTCGCCCAGGCATGCTGGAGGAAGATCCGACGGGAGAAGGTACTGCCAGTCCGCCAGAGCCCTCAGGGCCGTCAGCGGACGGAGGGGGAGAGTGGTGGGACCCCATTTGAGGCCAGGACGAAAAGGCCACAAACAGAGTCCGCACGGGCACCAAACGAAAAGACCAAAGGCCAAACGAAGGAGAGTCGGAACCCGTTCGTTGTCCCATGGAGCGGAAACGGCGCTCAAAAGCAAAAGCGGAGACCACACATACGGGGGGAGTTGTGACAGGGATACCTATCGAAAAGAAAATTGATTCCTATCAATAAAAAATAAGAAAAACATGATTCCTATCTAAAAACATATTAATTCGTATCAAAAAGAAAATTCCGTCCTGGTCTGCTGGTTCCCTGGTCGCTTGGTCCTTTGGTCCTTTGGTCCCTTTGTCCTGGTCCCTTGGTTCCCTGGTCCCTTGGTCCTCTGGTCCTTTTGTCCCTTGGTCCTCTGGTCCTTTGGTCCTCTGGCCCTTTGGTCCTTTGTCCTGGTCTTCGGGTCCTTGGGTCTGTACTTTCGAGGCAAGACGGCTTCAAGGTGATTTGGAAATCTGGTCATCCATCCTGTGAAGCACTGTAGCAGACCTTTTATCACCAGACGTAGCAGACCCTTTTTGTGAGCCACCCTGACGGTCAAATTTAGACGAAGAAGGTGCCATTCCAAGGTAGCAAACCTTTTGTCAGTCACCTGAGGGCAAAATTTTAGAAGAGGAAGGAGCCATTCCAACGTTGCACACCTTTTGTTAGCCTTGCGAGGTTAAAATTTAGAGGAAGAAGTTGCCATTCCAACGTAGCAGGCCTTTGTTTTGTGAGCAAACCGAGGGTAGAGTTTGCTATTCCAACGTAGCAGACCTTTTGTGAGCCCCCCGGGGATAAACTTGAGGTGCCACGCCAAGGCAGCAGACCTTTTGTGAGCAAAATTTAGAGGAGCAGTAGACGTTTTGTGAGCCATGTGAGGGCAAAACTTTAGAGGAGGTGCCATTCCAACATAGCAGGCCTTTTGTGAGCCATCCACAGGTCTTGTGGTTGAGAGGTCCATCTACAGAAACTTAGAGGTCTGAAATTCAGAGAGATCACGGTTGAGATGCAGAGAGGTTTAGATCTACAAAGATCCAAAGGCCTGGAGACCCAGACGGATCTGCAGGTGTAGAGGTCTAGAAACCCACAGATCTAAAGATGGAGGTTTAGAGGCCTCGAGTCTTGAGATCCAGGCAAGTCTTGAAATCTAAGTTCTAGGGGTCTAGACTTGCAAAGGGTGTAGAAAGATGTTCAGATCCAGAGATATCAAGAGCTCTTTTCACAGGTCTTGAGATCCACAGAAATTTTGCGCACGCCACGCAATCTGCCCTTCGAGGTTCGCAATCGCTGCGCTTACCACGAAGTTTGCGCTTATAGACAGAGGTTCACCCAGCGCCGTGCCTGCCACGCAATCTGCATTTCGAGGTTCACAAAGTGCTGCGCCTGCCATGAAATCTGCAGTTCCAGTGCACAAAGTGCTGCGCCTGCCACGAGCCTTGCAACTGAAGGTGCTCAAAGTGCTGCGCGTGCCACGAAATCTGCAGTTCCAGTGCGCAAAGTGCCGCTCCTGCCATGAAACCTGCTACTGGAGGTGCTCAAAGCGCTGTGCTTGCCACGAAATCTGCACTTCCAGTGCACAAAGTGCTGCGCCTGCTACGAAACCTGCTACTGAAGATGCTCAAAGTGCTGCGTGTGCCACGAAATCTGCACACAGATTCATATCGTGCAGCGCTGCCAAGGCGGTTCGCAGTGGCAGGCGCAGCTCTTTGTGAAAGGAAATTGTGTTTTTGATACCAAGTATTTTTTTGATAGGATATATAAATGTTTTTTTTGATATATATTTTTTTTGATAAACCCGGCCATTGTGACACCCGACTCCTTAAAACGAACCAGGTGGGAAAAGGATGAAAAAGGTACATGTTTTTTGTGTATAAATCGATTTTTCCAGGGAAACCTGTGGGAGTCTTTGGGGATGCGAGGAAAAAAATAATGAAAAAGAGTCAGAGACATGCTGGATGCATGGATCCGTGGATGCGGATTGCTTCAAGATCTTCCCCGACACTCTCTATGGATTTCTGTGGACTGGACAAGGCTTTCAGGTGTTCAGCCATGGAGGAATCCTGCTTGTGAAGTTTCATGGCTTCCTGATCTTCAACTTTCATGATCATCTCTTGAACATGTGGCAACACTTGCTGACTTCCCACATCTTCCCACAAGTGTGAAGTCTTGCGCACACCGACCGTCGTTTTGGTTTTGTCCCGTCTACACGGACGGTCCATCTGTCCGGGTGGCACCCAGGCGCAGGGGACGAGGTGCGATCACCTCGCCCGGACGCCCGGTCCGCGGCCGGTGCTGCCCATTCCGCGGGGAACGGGAGACAGCTGGGGTCCGAAAAAACCCAAAGTCAATGCAGGGTCATGTATATAATAGTTTACCTGGTATTATATATATAATATATATATGATATATAGATGAACAAAATTCAATTCATCCATGATCTTCCATGTATTTCATCGGTATTCCCCAAGCCCAGACACTCCTTCGACCCTCCATAGCAGGGGAGACCTCCGCATCGCAGGGGTCTGGTCCCGAAGCTGCCACAGTAGTAGACGACTAGCTCTTGTACCTCAAAAGCTGATGCTTCAAGTGGATCCCCCACTGGGTTTACTGCTTAAAAGTCTGGCCCGGAACCGTCTAAAAATGGGCCGGAACTCTCTTGGTGACCAAAGCCACACCTTTGTCGCCTGCATTCGCCTGCACATGCCAAAACTTCAGGTCCAGTCCAGCAGCGCCAAAGAAGCGTTGACATCATGGGTAGGGGCTGAGGTCTTGGCCACTCTTTCATTGGATGGAATGCCAAACTGAATCCAAGTGAATTGTGTTTGGTGCGCAGCACGACAAAGCACAACTTTGCCCGGTGGAGTGTAAATGTAATCTATATAATCGTATAATCGTTCTTTTCTTTGGACCAGAAGGAATTGTTGGTCAATATCACACCACTACTTACCAGGACATTACCTAAAGCTTGAGAGTGATACTTGTGAGCATCGTATGCCAAACTGCTCGAGTTGGGAACTGCCTTGAGTTGAAACCTCCCAAACCTCCCAACGCCCAAAGCCAGGTGACTTCCATTCGTTGGTAGGGGTATGTATGGTCATGATCGGTCCTAGGCTTGCTGCAACCCATTGTGCCATAGTACAAGAAAGCTATGTGCTCGTACAGTTTGCCTTTCACCATCAGGAATCATGAGGCACAGTGCTAAATAGGAATCACATGGAATCACCATGATCTACCCAATCGTTTAATGTATATATATATAACATTATATATCCTGCTTTGGTGCCTTGGATAGCTTAAAGTAGCCCATGTCGACAGGTAAATCAAGTTTGTCCCTGCAGAAACCAGAAGCCGCTGGGAACGGCGCTGATTGGCATCCTGTCTCGCCCCCGTCTCGCAGCATGTGGCATGTCCTCCGTCGCAACGCAACGGAACCTGCCTCGGTGCCAAAACTGGCACCGGAAGAGTCGACGCAGCGAGAGACCGAGAAAAGAGGCTCCTCGGCTGGTGTGGACCATGCGAAGGTGTCGAGCTGACGAGCAAAGCTGTTGGGCGCTTATGGACTTCGGAAGGGTGGGGAAGGCTCAAGATCATCCTCATCCCTTTTTTTCGTCGGCTCAAGAGAAGCTCAATCTAGCTTTGAACACGTGTCACAGGCAGTCGTTGCCTGCGAAAAGAACATGCTCCAAATTCCGCTGGTGGTGACCTTGCTCCTGGTGCACTCCTTTGCCCACCGCATCGAGCGCTTGGAGGCTTCGATGGAGCACCAGGACACGGGTGACGCGGCTACTCCGTGGTGGCTCAAGAAGAAGACGTGGAAGCTCCTGAAAGGTAATGAGACCGTGAATGAGGTGGACAAGAAAGGACCGGCCCGAAAACATGTGCATTCCGCTCGTTGTGGCAAAGTGATGGTTTTTTTCAATGTGTTTTTGGTGTGAATGCCTTACGTGGTGATGTGCGTGGTTGCTTCTGGCGTTCCGAGGATACACCATTTTGCACTATGCTGTGATGAATGGCGACGCGACCTTCGTGGAAGAGCTACTTGCGGCTGGCGCGGATGTGAATGCCCAGAACCCTCAAAATGGAAAGACCGCGGTCTATATGGCAGTTGGAGATGAGGACCTCGACATCATGAAAACTCTCATCAAAGCTGGTGCTGAGACTTGGTCTTCGTGTTGGTGTTCCGTCCGACAAGCCCGAAGAGTGGAAGATCCCGAAGAGTGTCCGACAGCCCTTAGGGCCCTACGCAGCCGTCCTTCAAAACCAAACTTCAAACTCCTTCTAACCCCCTCCAGGTCGCATGAAAGTTTTGATGCTGACTCCAGACCGCCCAGGATGTGAATCGCCAGACCTCCTACTTCAAGCTGACGCCCTTGGCTCGTGCCGTGCGCGACCGGAAGCCGGACTTCGTGCAGCCCCTGTTGGATGCGAAGGCCGATGTGAACCTGAAGGATTACGAGGGCAACCCACCCTTGTTCAGGGCCGTCCGGCAGGATGTGGGCCTCGCCAAGGAGTGGGAAGAAAAGCCAAACGGTCGACGGCGGAATGGGTGAGACTGATGCAGGGCCTGGGAACTGCTGAGAGTTGGGTCCGGATGGGACCGGGGGGTCAGGAACCGATGTCTTTTGGTGGCTTTAGTACGTATGTTTTTCCTTCCACCCAGTGGTTGAATATGGTTGAATGGAACATGATGGAAGCAATTAACATACGTGGACGCACATCCAGCTTCTTGATGCCTGTTGCATCATGTGTCGGGCTCGAAGTCCTCGAGGAGCTCGATGTTCCGAGTGCCAGACCCTGTCGGGCCGACCGGACCAGGATCTCATCAAGGCCAAGGCAGATGTGAATGTGAGGACCACCGATGGTTCAGTGCTGCACACGGCGGCGGCCAGCGGCGATGAGGGCGCGGCTCGACTCCTGCTGAAGGCCAAGGCCTTGCCGAATGTCAAGAACTTCGACCGCGAGACGCCCTTGCACCTGGCGGCTATGTACCGAAACCTGTACACCGATGCAGTCACTGCTTTGCTCGCTGCCAAAGCGGAGGCGAGCGGAACGTAACTCTTTTTGGTGTGTTTTTTTGCCATCCAAGCCTTTGGGTGGGGATGTGTCATAGCTGTGATGTGTTCTTTGTTCCTGCTCTTGCAAGTATCATCAAGTAATTATATAGAAATATATCAGTAAATATCGATAATTTTACCTTCTTGGATTATCACGTGGGATTTTTCTTTGGCAGATGTGTTTCTCAACACCTTCTGCGGTCCTTCTGCGATGCCGTTTGTCGAGGTCAATGCCCACAACGGTGACGGAGAGACTCCCTTGGCATGTGCCATTCGACGTGGGAACCCCTTCACCGAGAGCATCCTCAAAGCTGCTGGAGGTACCACCTGAAGGGAACGACCTGTGCTGACACGGCGACCGCACGGCGACCGCACGGCTCTGGGTGGAAGCCGAAAAAGGACCGCTTTTCACCCAGGCGAAGGGCATTTGATCAAGTCGAACGAGGCTTTTGGTGCAAGACAGGGAGCTTCACTGATGTTCCACTGGTCTTCGATTGAGAAGTCTGCCACTGGTCATTTGGTGGCTCCACGCGACCAGTTCCAATTCTTGTGGCAGACAGTATAATTATGATTATGGGCATGGGGGTTCCATAAACCACCCGACCTGGGTGGTGCTGGTAGATAAATTTATAGTATGATTAAATAAAATATAGAATGATTAGTAATTCCTCTGTCTCCAGCATGGTTTTACATCTCCAGTCCTGGGTGGTTTATTCACCAACCAGTCTACACACATGTTTGATCTGTCCCCCATAGTCATTCCTACTGCCAAGAGTCACACAGGGGTGGTTTTTAGTCCCTAAGTCAGTGGATAATGGGCACCCCTATCCTCCAACCATCCTTTGCGACTCCTGCTGTATGTGGCTTTGCATCTCGCCATCTCTACTCATCTCTAACTCGTCTCTACTCTTGTGCTTGGATTGGCGGAGATCGTCCTTGGCTCCAGCTGACCTTTCAAAGATTTGTGAGAAGACAGCTGAGCACAGCCGAACACCGCTGGCGTGCAGAGCTTTGGGCATTCATGTTAGCCGAAAACGCAGTCTGAGCCACAGGCAGAAGAGGTCTGGAAGGTGGTTCGGGTTCGAGAGTTCTTTTTTGACAAGGACTGACAAGGGCTGAGTTCAAGATCTTGACAGCACAACATTCTGGTTTCGGATTCATGCAAGTCGCAGAGCAAACTTTGATGAACCTCCCCACTGCAACACCATCTTCCCTTCTCAGATGGTCCATCTTTCTGAGCCCCATGGGTAGCTCATGCCCGCGCCTGGCCGTGGCAGGAGGGGTTGACTGCTGGGTTGACTGGTGGGTCCATGGGAGCCGTTTTTGGGATCTTAATGGTTCGCTCAAAAATGGCCTGGTGAGTGCCATGCCATTCCCAACGAACCCAAAAGAAACACGTGGTTTCGTAAACGTCGTCCACATCACTAGTGTGAATGCTGTGCCGTTCATCCTGGTTCCAAAAAGGCACAGTTGTTGCCCCCTTGTGGCACGGGAACTTCAACAGGTCCGAATCTGAGGCTGGATGGTTTTCACTCGTGTTGCAGGGAGGGCCGACAGGGGCCCCGTGTGGGAGGTCTCTCCTAAGGGGTGTCTTTTTTGTGCTGTAGCGGCGGCTGGTAGACGCATCTTGAGACAGACATAGACAGACCCATGCAGTGGCAACTGGCAACCCCAACGCGATAAGACAATTAACGAGATATCGATATTATATCTTCATACGTTGTCTATAGAGAGAGAACCATCCGCATGTTCCATGTAATTATTAATCATTAATCAACGCCTACTGAAGTGTACCCATCTATACCCATCTAGATCTTCTTTTTCACACCAACTCGTTCAATCGACCACCACAGCGACCGCCAGTCCTTGCAGTACGGCCTCTTGAGATGATTTCCGCGCAGGCGGAAGCCGTATTTACCCGGATCTCCATCAACCCGTTCGGACCGGTTGACCAGGTCGGTCGGCTTGACGTACGACGGTAGGAAGTTGTTGTTTTTTCGGTGGGTTTTCCTCCCCTTTGGACCGGTTGGGGTTCCATGCCTCCAATCTTCCTGACAAGAAGGCCCGGGCAGTGCCGTGCCGCACGCCCTTCTTCCGCGACTGAGTCACGTCTTGAGGCGACTGAGTGCTCGAAGAGAAGGGATGCCCAGGGGTTCTTATTGGCCAATTCTTTGGTGAAAAGTACTCCATACCCTTCCTCCAACATCCCAACATCCTCATCAAGGTGGACTGATTGGTTCCCTGTTTTAGTTGGTTTAATTTACAATACTTTTTGTCAAGCAGACATGTTTTAATCTATAGCGCATATATCTACGGTAGTCCACTTCCACGTTGGACATAGGGTAATCCTTCAGAAGTAGGGAACAGCAATGGGATTGCTGATTGGCTCATGATGTCTTGTCATCTTGTCCGTTGGGGCTGTCATATTTTGCATGCATGCGAATACATCTAGCTATCGACTATATATAGGCTTTTTAGAGTGCTACAGGTTTCACATCGATGGGCGCGCGTGATCTCACCAGATCACTTCCCTCGTGTCGCTCGGGTCGGTCATCCGGCCGCGGTCCGGGTCCGGACGGAGGACCGGTCCACGCGTCCGACGCGTCCGGGGCGACTGCTTCGAACGGCGCCGTGTACAACGCTTCGGAAGCTCGCTGTGCAGCTGTGCAGCTGGTGGAAGCTCTGAAACTGGTGCAGCTGGTTCTGCGGATCGGGTGATGTTTTTCCCGCTCTGGGGAATCCCCAGACCCCCACTACTGTGTGACTGTGCGGAAGGTCAAATACTATGGTCGCCTTGATGATTCATCAACCCTCCTAAGTGTGCGTCACTGAACATGTTTGGAGTCAAATCTTGAAGCGTAGGCTCAACATCGACTGCACATACTGCAACATCTTCCAACATCTTTCAACTACATTCTCATGGAAGGATGAAGACTTGGAAAGGATATTGCACCCAGACCATTCATTTCTCCAAACTCGCGCCGACGTCCAAAAACCAAGGAAGTCTACCCAACCTCCTGTCTCATCCTAGCTTTCTCCCAGCTGTTTCGGTCAGGTCTCGTGCCGTTTCAGACCCCACCGGTGGTGTCAAGAACGCGCCAGGACTGCGAGATCGTGCCGCCGTGGAATGGGGACCTGGGTGACTGCCCGCAGGAGCCGTCACGGGCGAAGCGGGAGATGAAGCGAGCTGTGCCATGCATCGACCGGGTGTGGATGGAAGGTGTGGAATAGGCATGGTTGTTCTCTTTGTGGAAGTGGAAGTGGATGGGACCCCCAGTTGTGCCCTCCCACTTAGTTGTTTTGTTCCAGATTGGTTTGGTTCTTTTGCCCTCCCTCCAACTGCGAAGTGGATGGCACCCCCTCTGTGTGTCCGGAAGAAGGAGATCCTTTCGGGGCCATGCCATCCGTTGGCAGAGTATGCCATCCACGTAAAAGGGTTGAGAGACGGAAGCTGAGTATGAGGATGTTCGTTCTGCTGCATTCATTGAAGGATGGTTGTTGAGTCTCAAAGCACCACAGAAAATAGATGAACATGGGTACAAGTCTAAGTACCTGCTTTTATCGGCTCATGCCCCATTTTTGTCCATTTTCAAGCATCTTCCAAGTTTCCAAGGGATCCAAGTACCTTCTCAGAAGGTACTTGGACCCTCAAAACCTACATGAGAGTGTCTCCAATCACCTTCTGAGAAGGTACTTGGATCCCTAGGGGTAATCTAGAATTAATTATCTGGGTGTTTTTTCAGTCCTGCGGTCTGACCAGCATGGTTGAGCTAATGCCTGTAACACGCTGTAACAGTCGGTAACAAGAACATTACTATTTCAGAGAAAGGCCTGCAACTGAAGCATCATCATCCACTGGGCCCTGGGTGTTTGGGATAGACCCAAATAACTAATATACCCATTAAAAGATTTGAATGGACCCTCAGATGCGTTTGTCTTGGACCGAAGAAAAGCATGCTGCAGTTTTTCCTGACCGGGTCCATAGGTAGAAGTCAGTTGGATCCCCAAACAGATCTAAGTATACAGTGTACAGTGTACAGTGCTGTTTTCACTCCAAGTGGTCCCGGATGTTTCCAACCGAATGGTCCGTGGAACCTCGCGATGTTCGGTCAGACGCTGTCCTCTGGTTCCAGCTGCCTGTGACCTGGCGAGAGATCGCGGTCAGAGGGGTCGGCAAACCGCATCCGAATGCAACACCACCAGCACCACAACCAGCACACGCAAGCAGAAGAAAAGCACCGGACTTAATACACAACCAGCAAGAAAAACCAAACAATAAACAGCCAACACCAAAAACAGCGAAAACAGCCAGCAAAACAGGTCTCCGCACTCGACTCCGCAGTTCTTTGGTCAGCTTGTTCTTTTTTTGTATGTGTGGCGACCGATGGTAGCTCCGCTCGAGACATGGTTCGTCGAACGCCAGTGGCGTTTGCACCGGGAACCGGTGGAATAGAGGTTCGAAGCATCCGAATCCCGGTGGATTCACCGCTCATCGTCCATGGTGACGGGAGTGCACACGAATCCTGGGTTCAAAACATGAAAAACACATGAGAAGGCTCCATCCCGGAGTGCACACGTGAGATTGCCTGTCCACCATGAGGGGACCGTAGAAATACAATGAAAGGAGATAAAGATTAACCAAAAGGCAACGGGACAGAGCAGGGCTTCACCATCCTCACCATTGTTGGATCTTGTTGGTAGGACCCTCCTTCTGCCATTCTGCCAATTGCATAGCAGGCCTAGGAGGACGAGGTTATCACCGTGTAGGTGAGTGTTGGGTCACAGTGTTGGGACCTAGACCCAGTCCGAGAACAAAAAACCGAAGATGGAAGACCGGAGTCTTAGGTCTTCGGTTTTGACCAGGATGCGCTCTACTACTTTCTATACACCCATGTTTTGTCTTTGTCACTATGGTCTCTCCAAGTCTGCTTTGTTTCGCTCCTTTTGTGCCGCGCAGCAAGAGGATTCGCTCTTCCGATTCGGAGCTGGCGATAGCTGGGATTCGCCGTGTTTTTCTTTGCTGGTGGGCCAACGAGGTGTTCTTTTCCACACCCCAAAAAGCCTCAGGGTGAACACCGGGGCACGACCGACCCGACCAACCCCGACCGAGGCCCTCGTGCCGAACGGGCTACGAGCTGGCTCCCGAGGGCGGTGTCGCCCGGTGCCGCCTTGGCCAGCTAAGCTGGGGGGCCCGAGGGGCCGAGAAGCGGGCGTTCCAGTGTTCCAGGACCGTTGGTGGGGCTCAATGGCGGCGAACATCCCCACCAAGCCAAGAGAAATGGCTGTGCTCAGGATACCGACCGATATCGACCGGTACCTGACCTATTTGGGTGTCGGTCTTTGGCCTGCCAGGTGGACAACCATCGAGCTCCAAGTTTGGACCCCCCAAAAGACTCAAATGATATTCGAAGAAAGCACATGGACCCAGCTTCAGGTGACAGGGAAAACCTATGGGCCGAGCTTCACAGTGCAATCCAGTGCAGTCTTCCAGTCTATAGGTTCCGCCTAGGCGGCTTACTGGTCTGTCCAATCGGACCAGTCTGACCAGTTACTTCAAAGAATGACTGAGATCACCTGACAGATGCCGAGTCAAATACCATTGATGGCCTCTTTTTATCTTTGAGGGACAGCGAAGGGCCTGATAGAAACGATTTTTAGAATCTAAGTCCCGAAGTTCGTCGAATCTTGAGGCACGTCTTAAGGAGCAATCTTTGGTTCCAAGATGTTCGAAGTTAAACTCCCTGAAAGAACCATGGGCCAAGGTGGAGAACACATGGCCCCGATGACTCTGATGACCATGAAATCGGAAGACCAAACCGGTGGTGATGTCCACTTCCATGTGAGTCAGTAGTGAAGCAACTGTGCCGACCACAACCGCTTGCAACTCCTTAGCAAGTACAAAGAAATGTTTCCAGGATGTTCCAGGCAAGCATTGCTGATATTGCCATTAATGTATCTTGGGAGAACAGAGCTATTTCACTTTTTACGTAGAACAGAGCCACCGAACAGAGGGACCGGCCGGATGCTTTTCGTGCACCGACCTGACCGGATGTTTGCTCACATGGGGGTCTTGTCGTAGTGCTGTACTCAATGAGAAGATCGACGCCCAAGGGGGACTGTGTATTACAGTGGTTTCAGAGTAGATGGCACAAAGATGCAGCACCCCAAGACGTCGACCATCGACAGATGGGGGTCCATATTAATATTTCAACCGGCGATGCTGCATGAGTGTGCCATCTACTGTTAATATCTGTTAATCCATTCTACGGAGACCACCCAACGAATGGGTGCAATGGATTGCTTCGCCGGTACGACTTCTGATCTGCCTTCGTGAAGTGCAACACCTCGGATCAATGGAAGTGCCAGGTCTGCCAACATGCCATCCCAGCGCTTGCAATGTCTCAGAGGCCTCAATGTTTTGCCGTCCGCAGCAGACGAGCGGTTGTCGTTCGCACCCGAGGCCTTACGGCGCATCGAATAAGGAGACTCCCTGAACGGTCGACCGTGTAGACGGCCTTGGTGATCTTGGGGTGGGAAAGCCACCGCCCTGAGTGGTTGATTTCAGAAAAGACTTCGACCCCCTGCCCCTCACTTGAAGGTATTTAACATGCTTTTTGGCCAGTCAGAGGTCTTGGGGAAAAGGCCGTGACTGTGACCAAAACGGAAGGAAGACTGAGCCAGTCGAGTGTTTGGGGGCGTTGTGGCTTCCGAGTCCACTGTCGACTGGTCTATGTCTGTAAAGCGTCCCTGATTTTCAGCTGTGCACCAGGCGATTGGGTTGAAAACAGTCCCTCTTTGGCAGGGATTATGACTAAACGCTGGGCGTTTGGGGGCCATTTTGTTCTTTTAAAGCACCTTAGACTTGGTTGTGGCTTGCTTGGGGCTTGGGGCATCCTCACTGTATATCCACAGACCTGGCAATTCTTGACGTTTGCAGCGGATTGAAACGGAACTTTTGAACTTGGAACTTCAAGAGACACTCCCGAAGCCCGAAATTGCCTCCACCCGCCCGCAGCACATCGCTCACAACCAATCTTTATACTCACTCGACGCCTGGGCATTCTGGGAGTCAGTGGATTTGCAGATGGATTTGCTGGAATTCATCACGCTCCTTGGAATCATCACGTTTCGCCTGCACTGCCGCTGCGCCCACATGCGCAACCGCGCGCACCGCGTGCAGGCGGCTGGTCGGATAGAACACCTGGCCACTTTGGGCGACTGCCCGGAGGTGATGGCGCCAGGGGCCCCGGACTCGTCCGAGAAGAAGAGGATAGAGAGGGAGGGGTAGATTGATGGTTTTCCAGTCGTTTCCAGTGCTGAATTGATGAAACAATCATGGAAGTGGAAGATGGCCGCATGCAAAGACCACGTTCCATATTTTTCCACTACGAACTGTGGCTTTTCCACTTCTATGTTTGTTGCAGGGAGGGTACTTGGGTGTGCTAAGAATCTCGCTGCAGCCTCCAGCTTCAGCTCTGTCGCATCAGTCAGTCAAGGCCAATAGAACAAGCAGACCAAGCACTGTTGCCAGCAGACCATCGTCATGTTTGCATTGCAACTGTTGCTGTTGGATTGGGAAACCAAAGCTGTTCCCGGAGTTCAGAGACGAACTCCAGATCATGTTGAGCTGGTGCCTGCAGCCGTCCAGGGAGGAGGATGAGAGTCACTTCTCCAAAGAGCTGAACTTCTCCAAAGAGCTGAACTTCCCCGTGGCATGCGCAAAACAGAAGGGTCTTGTGAGGAAATGGTGGGCAGAACAGGCGAGAGAAACCGATCCGCATGTCACCTCGTCATGTTCCTTTCATTCAGGATATGCAATATCAATGTGGATTTGGGATGCCAGCAGAGTTCTTCTCAGCAATTCGGATTCGTCGTCCGCCGGACCAGAGGGCCCTCGGACCCTCGGAGGTTCCTTTGCCACGACGCAGGTGACCTTTGCCACGATGACAAGGTGTGAGCTGAAGAGAAGGAACACGGATGTGGACAAGTATCATCGCCGACAATTGCCTGGTGGTGATGTTCCTTGGCCTGCATATAAAGGATTGTAATTGATAGATCATTATAGTGATAAGTACTGAAGTATACTGAAGTAATATATTTATATATATACTGTAATCGTGTAAGTCATGTTCTTTGGGCAATCTAATTCCTATCCACGGGACGACTCACTGAACAGTCATGTGGCCAGGTATGTGTGAAGATCTCGAAACGAGATCTTGCAGGAGCACCTTCAGAGTTCATGACAAGCAAGGTGCTTGCGGGAAGGCTGAGCTCATACACCGAGTTCCGTGAGCCTCTTTGGCCGTTTTGCCACATCAGCAGCAGCGTGATGAAAGGAAATCCTTTCTACCACACGTATCCTTGGAGTTGTTGAGCGCGCGTTAATTGTTTGGTATTACTTTGTGCTTCTGTGGCAACCTCACAAACAAGTCTATGCAATCAATCAATATGATCAAGCTGCAGCTACTGTAAATGTTGGTCTGCTTCGCAGGGCCTCAGAGCAGATCTCAAAACTGGATTCTTTTGAGTATACCAGGTACTCAGTCTTGGACGTCAATGACGGTGAGTTTCAAATCCTATTGGAACGTTTCGATGAGAAGATTCAAATCCTGGTCGCACAGGGATCCGTTTCTTGGTTCCGCACTTGGACATGTCAGTGATGTGGCTAGCTTGATGGGCTTCATGTGCAAAGACTTCGTTGTGGCTGAATCAGCTAAGGATTTTCGTGGAGTTACTCAACACTTTATGGCGTGTGGAAAATCCCGTGCGTTGTTTGGGATTCCAGAAGCTACAAAACCGGTGCAGAAGCCAATCACAGTGCAAGATTTGCTTGATTGGATGGGTTCCTCACTAGCTAGCCGGTGGGAGCCCTACGGGCTTGTACTCAACAACTGCCAGCATTTTCAGGCAGAATTGCAAGTGACCCGGCTGAGCAGAGAGCTGAATGTGAGCAGGTTTGAACTGGCTGATCTCAAATCCGGTGCGCCCTCGAAACTCAAGAGCCCTTCCAATTTGGTGGGTCTTTATTGCGAGTCCGAGATAATGGTGAACGAATTGAGAGCCTAAGTAAAAGTGGATTAGCTGCATGTATATATATATAATATCAATATTTTAAAATATCCATTTATCCAGGCCTTAACTTGCTTTCAACATGTTTCATCCAGGTCTTCCTCTTGGACACATCGGGCAACTTGGAGCCACCTCGAGGAGATTGCTTCGATCGAGATCTTGCCCTGGAAAGCCTCAAAGAAGATGGCTCCAGATTGAAGTTCTTCCCGAAGAGTTTGCGAGAAGACGCTCAGCCGAATGCTGTTGGATTTCGTGTGTTTTGTGATAGTCTCGACCCAATAGGGAAGCTTCTTTGAACGAGTTTCTGATTCATTCTTATTCCTATGGGCAAAATCCAGTGTCATGATACATCCTGGAAGGACTCTGAGCTAATGCAAGCGGCCCGATGCAACTTGCCGAACTTGCTCACGGCATCGAATCCATTTGCTCGTCGTAGTTACACTGGCATCCAAAGAGACCAGTGTTATATGAGCTGCTTTGGCCAGTTTGGCTTGTAACTTACTACCGTTTCAAAGCTCATGAGGCTCATGCCATCACAGAGGCATGAGTTCAAGGCTCAACACATCTGAATGAACGAGCTGTACTGCTATAGCTTGCTTTGATTGAAAAGTCACTGATGTTTGGATGCCCCTGCTGGTTTGACTACCGGACCCTGAAAGTGTAGAGGAAGCACATCGGACTGGTTTGGTGCCAAAACCACAGGGCCCGTTGTGAGTGACGTCCAGCTCTCCGCGCTTTCAGTCTTCACAACCCATTCTGCTGCCCGCGGGCGACCCATGGGTCGGAGGACCATGGGAGGCGAGCCACACCAGGTGGGCCCTGGTGTTGACCCACAGCCATACTGTTGGGATCCAAGTACCTTCTCAGGTACGGTGATTGGAGACACTCTCATGTAGGTTTTGAGGGTCAGGGTACGACCGGATCCCTAGGGACATAATATAAAACAGATTAAAACAAATACGTGTGAAATCCCTGTCGCGCTATTCCATGGATGCCATGAGTCGTTTGACCTCACGGCGTCTAAGAGAACTTGGAGCTCACGACCGTCGTCGTCCTACGCGTCGTCGTCGTCCGGACGTGTCTTCTATGCCCCCCCGCCGGGGTGGCTCCGTCAGGTCGGGCGGCTTTTGTGAGCCGGAATGCATGGAGAGATACGAGCCCAGTGCCTGGGCACAGATGGAGTCGACGGGTCGAGTCGAAGAGGCGAAGGCCCACGAGTCGGTGGCGTGCTGGGCATGGCGTAGTGCGCGTCTTGCAATGCCGCGAGGTTTTGGAGTTGACGGTCCTAGTCATACGTCCTTCTCTTCCATGATCGGAAGCACCTTCCAGGATTGGTTCGCCTCAAAAGTCTTGAGAGCTATCATCAACGAATATGTATTTGTATGTATTTGTGGGATGCTCGAAGTGATTTTGCAATTCCTTATGAGAGAGTGAAGCCTTTTGCGCAAGTTGTGAGACCATCACAAATTGTGAAGTTGGTTCTTCTTTGCCAGTTGTCCGTGAGTGAGGTGGCGCAATTTCAATTCTAGTCGCAAACGATTAAGATATAATTGACTCTGGCGGCAGCATTGCCCGGTGCTATGGCTAGATGAAGTCATTCAAAACTCGGTGGGAAGGGATAAGTCGTGACTTTTCGAGAACGACAACTTCTTCCCGAAAAGAGATAAAATCAGCAAACTTTGCAAACTTTGAGCCATTCTTTTGGTGAACAAGGGGAGTTCTAGTTGTGACAGCCAGTCCAGTTGCACCACGAAACGATTTGTCACACCTTACGCCAGTCCTGCTCTTTTGAGTCACCGAATTACGCATTGGACATGGTGCCATCATGTGCCATCCATCCATTCTCGTCCTCTTGTTTGAAGGTCTGGACTCGGTGTCCACCTCCTTCGGTCACTTCTCACCTCCTTCGGAGTTCTTCGAACTAACCCTCCAACGGATGGGGCGCCTCCTTCCAACGCTCGATGCGCTGCGCGCATCGCCTCGGCCTTCCCGAGGCGGAAACCTCTCGTGCCACTTCGGCAACCTCACGGACGTGGATTGCTCGAGCGCTCGAGCGTGGGTTTAGGGTTGCCACAGTGGCCACTGGGTGGTCAAGCCAGGCATGGCTACCTAGGCATGGCTGTCACATCCAGGCATGGATGGAGAGTTGACTCAATTAAAATACATGAGATTTGAGATGTTTTAAGCTTTAAGATGCTTTAAGGAGTTCGAAGGATTTCGAAGGTATTGTTTCAGAACTTTGTGGAGGCTTGCCCCTCGGGGTTGCAGGTGCCAAAAGAGGAATTTGCCTATACATAATCATACCCCAGACACTCCATGTATGGTATAATGTATATACGTTGACCCCTGAAACCAATACATGTATGCTAGTCCCATGGAGTTCTTTTCCCATAAATAATGATGATTTTAACGTCTTATGTTTTGCTGGGCCATGCTGGGCCCTCGGTTGATCATGATGTGGATGTGGCGGGATCGTCGGGATACCTTGGACGTTGGCTGGCGTATCAGAGCGTATGGCTGTCAAGTCGACCCACCGTAGCTTACAAAGAGCTTTGTAGAAGGAGACAAAGGTCTCAACGTAGCTGAAACAAGATTCATTCCCCAGTTTGTCTCAACCCTCTCACACTGGTTGTTTGGGGTGCAGGTAATGCCACCGCCCACAACACCCACCAACATTACAAACATTCAGGACATCTCATAACATGGGAATGAGTCAAAACCTGGAGCCCGACCTGTCCACCATGTAGCGAGCTTGACCTTCCAAGAAGCTCGTGCCCGCTATCCTGGTTGCCGTGACCCACAGCCATATGACCGCCCTATTCCTACCACCAAACCAGAAGCCCCGACACGACTTCTGGGTTGTCATTGGACACCCCGTAAGGAATGTCCAGGTAGGTACTGGATGGTACTGGAGATTTGGAATGATTTAGACTTCCTTTGGATAACTCCCGGCAAGATTTACATGGAACCTGAAAATGAAGCTTTGGAAGACTACTTACCTCCACCAACCCAGTGGTTTTGAGGTTCCATGTGGGTCTCTTCCAGGGGATTCGCCTCTGCTTCACCCCTCCTCCTCGGATTGGCTGCTTGGCCCATAGACACCGGCGGACGACTGCCATTGGTGCGACGTGACTTGCTGAAGAGGACGATCTCATGAAAGGCATGTGGAGATATGTGGAGCATGATGGGCTGCCACTTGGAACAGCAGCACTGGCAGCTGTGGACGAACAGCACTTACAGCTGGGCTACAGCCACCATACGAACATTTCACAATCTTCAGCTGAAAGAACCGGATTACTCGCAGCTATGATTCGGCTGAACGACACGTTTATCAATGATTGGGCTGAAACATGTGGTTGAGAAGAATGTGCACTGCGTGCTGAGGCAGAGTGTAACTTGTTGCGGCTAGAGGAAGGCAGTAGCCTTGAGAAGGAGTTACTGGAATAACAGATGAGTGAACTTTTGCACTGTTGTGCTAAAGTTTCCCTCATATCCTCTGGCGCATGAGTGCTTCTGCTGGCTTCAGGGAATGGAAAACAAGCAACACCCGCAGCATTTGTGCAGCCCAGAAGACCGATATCACCTGAGCTCTTCTCGGTGGAGAAGAACATTTGGCTGCCAAGTCGAAGCGGGGGCACCGGCTTCAACGCGCATGTAGCCAAACGATGAAACGCCACCCAGACAGAAGAAGAGCAGTCTGCAGTCCTTCTCCAAAGCGAACGTCTGGCTCGCTGCCGCAGTCCTTCGCAGTATCCAACATCCAAAAGCATCCTGGAGAGCGTGGAGATCCATTTAAAAAACCATCAATGACCTAACCCAGACCATCCATGTATGACATCTTTATGAATACATTTGGGGTGGTTTGGGGGGTCAACTGCATCTATTCCAGTCCCATGGATGGTTTGGGTGAAGCATCCAAAAGCCTGGAGATCCATTTAAAATGGCCATATGTGGACCATCAATGACCTCAAGCATCCCAAATCCATTCTTTGTCCCAACAAGCGTCCACGCTTGTTCCTCTCGCCATGCGTAGCTCGCTCGTCGCCCGCAAGTTGCCCCGCCGAGGCCTTTTGGTGGACCGATGCCCCGCTGGCGAGGTGCGTTGGTCGGGTGCAACCAGAAGACATGTGCACCAGATGCACCGAATATGTTACATAATGTTACATATGAGCCAAGTACGGTCTTTTCCAACATGCGAAGACCAAGGACAATAGGTGTTGACCGATATATTCATAACGACATTCCATTCATGGATTGCCTGGGACAAAAAACAGAAACATACGGATGGCTGTTAGGGATCCTTGATCAACTCGCTAAAGCTGTTGGATTACATAATGTTACATATGAGCCAAGTGCCGGTCTTTTCCAACATGCGAAGACCAAGGATAATAGGTGTTGACCGATATATTCACAACGACATTCCATTCAAGGATTTCCTGGGACAAAAAAAAGAAACGTACGGATGGGCTAAAGCTGTTGGATGACTTGGTGGGCAATTCCCTCCAAGATGACTCAGTCATTTTGGATGCTAACGGACGAAAGCACCAAAGCACAGACTGATGGCCGTGGCATGCGACACCTCGGGGAACTTGACCTCTCTAGCTCGAAGGGTTCAAGACTTGAACTGTGAAGAGGAGCCACAATGGCACGATGAGCCACAAGGGTCTATAGTTATCCCAAAAGATCCCAAATCAAAAGATATCAAAAGTATATAAAGTAACCTTTATCGTCCAAAGGGCTGTGGAAACCACGGCCTTTCTTCAGGGGCCGGTCTTGTGCAGCCCTAGGCCACCAAATACCACTTATGAGGGGTATATTCATAACATATACTAGTCACTGCCTCACAATGAAGATGGAAAGATAAACATATATAAAAAAAATATTTTATTATACTGTTTATGAGACCCTGTTTTCCTCGAACATGATCATCTTTGCTTCTGAACGCACCCTTCTGCCGTGTCGGCGCGCGCGGAGAGGAACGTCTCGACGCGGAGATGGTCGAAACGCCCAGTGGGGGTTCGTGCGTGCCCGGGTCCTTGGATGGCTTTCGCGACAGCGCTGGGCGTTGCTTTTCGAAAGCATGGCGTTGTTTTCACTCAGGCGAAGCTCAATATGAACATCATGTTCTTTATTTCACGGGAGAGAAAAAAGAAAAAACTGTTCGTTCTGATAGCAATTCGAGAAAGGAGGCACTGCTGCCTGCATCTTCAAAGTTGTTGTGATCCTGAACAACCTCTTAGCTGGCTTATGTAGGGGATTTCTAGCACGCGATTCAAACTTTAGATACTTTAGGAGTTCAGCATTGAGGAGATTGAATATAGAGCTCTATTGGTTTCTGGCTCACTAGAGAAACCAGCTCCGTGCTTGCCTGTGCCATCTCGTTTGTCACGGTTGTGGGTCTCCCGCTTGCCCCGTGGCGGACGCGTTACCCGCCCGGGCGCGACTGACGCGTCACTCGCGGTCAGGCCTTGCCCTTTGGGCACCTACAAGTCGGACGAAGGAGGGACGCAACTCGTGGTGCACGTTCGTCGGGAGCGACGGTGTCTGATGCGAGCGACGGTTCGACCATGGGTGTTTGATTGGGTACCGTACCAGGTGACCTCCGCTGCGGGGTTTGGATAGATAGTCCTTTGTAGTACGGTAGAGTCACCACCCCGGCCGTGGGTCCTTTTGGGTGAAAGCGATTTTTCTGAAGTGCACTTCATAGCCACGTGCAAGACGACTCCTTGTTGGCTCGAGGAACTCGTTGTCTTTTTGGTGAATGAAAAACATGGCCAGATCCAAATGTTAATGTTGGCTGTGCTTACCACTCCCCTAGAAGCCTTTCAGCACCATGTCTGTTGACCATCTACGTGTGAACTTAAAGTGCTAAGCAAGTTGGTATGTCCATCACCTTCGGCCAGTGCACGATGAGAACTTCGCTGGGATTTAGGGGTTGAACAGTTCAGATGAAAGATGTTTCTTTTTTGGGGATTTCACTGGTCCATGTGTTCAGATGTGTGTGATTTTGGGCAGTGATCGGGTCAGTGGCCCCTGCAGTTTTTGGAGGTTGTCTCAGTCCTATGGGGTGTTCAAAATGTTCAAAAGACACTTACAGATACTTAAAGACTAGTGACTATTGACTATTCTGACGACTATTCTCCTCAACACAGCGGCCAAGAAAACCATTTTTATGTTAAGTGACTTACTACCTGCAAGTGTTTCTACCAGGACCATCCAAACATCATCACTAGATTACCCAGCCCACTATCCGAGATCTCCAGACAGGACATGCCACATCCAGACAGGATGCTTTTACTAGGAGCAAGAAGCTACAAGTAACAAAGGGCCTCGCTACTAGGAGCTATTAAGGGCGCTCCTGGCCTTACTACTATAGGAGCAAGAAGCTACTAGTAGAGCATCGCTCAGGTAGGTTTGCAGAGACGTCACGTGTCCTCGTTCATCCTGCAGCGCATCTGGACCCTGCCAGGACCTGGGCCATGCCAGGCTTGTCCCACCAACTCCTACACCAACGCCACCGGGAGGCACGTGGGATGTGTCGGCGCCGATGACCGCTCGCCACGGCTGCCGAAGCATCCAAGCGTGACCAAGGCGAACCATTCTTTCTGTTTCGGAGATTGTTTGGCTCTAATTTAATAGGGAAAGGTCTTCCGGTTCTGCAGCGATCCGCAGCTGAGGGAGAAACACACCTGCTTCCTTCTGAATTCACCAGGCATTAGGCTGGAAGGTCTTCATGGCAAGTAATTGTAATATTATTCTTCTACTACTTCTTCTTCTTTTTCATTGTTTTTTATATTACTGTATTCTTTTGCTTTTGCTTCTTCTTCTTTTGTTTCTTCTTTCCTTCTGCGTCTTCTTCTTCTTTTGTGCATCGAAGGCAGTCGCCTGTGACTAGATACATGCACCGAATTAACACAAGCCTCAAGCCTTTATGGAAAGCAGGCCCTCGCTCAGCTAAAGCGAAACTTTCGAGCCAGCTGGCTCCAAGCAAAAAAAACAAACATGGATGCAAGACTGCACAGGTGTACACCCATAGGAACATTGAAGCAAAGGCCAGCAGCAAACAAAAGGCGGGCGGCCATGTGCAGTGCACTCACGAGCTGCGGAGAATGGTCCTTTAAGCTGCGGCGCACACAGCAGAACAGCCGGAACAGCTTCTTTGCAACATGCAACCCAAATTGACAGCCCAGCTAAGCAGCAGCACCAGTTCGGAGGAACAGGCCAACACCCGATCTGTCAGCAGTGCTGTGCATAGGGGCGAGTAAGGCCGTCCCAAACTCCTGCAAAACTGCACAGCATAGTCCTCGTCGGCCAATTGCAAACACTAAAAGCGCTAGAAATTCAAGCATACTTGAGCCCTTCATAGCAAGTACAGGAGGAAGTACAGGATGTGATTTGATTGCCAATTCTCTCGGTAAAGTGAGGCCAGGTGGCTAGGGCTCCAACCCAGACACTGACATGCGGCATGTGTTTCATTTTGCAGTTTGGGATGCAATGCCCAATTTTGCAAAGAGCTTTTGTAATTAACGTGAGCACCCTGGTGTCCGGCCCATCAATACAGCGCTTGGGGCATTGAGTGGACGACTACAATGTAGTCGTGAGTCGTTACTGGACGCCTGCAATCGGATGGTCGTGTCTGGGAACAAACCAGGAACCGCGATGGTGATCCATGTCGGAACCTTTCAGGAAAGACTCCAACGCATGTCAAAAGCAAGGCAGTCTTCAGGCAAGCGGCCAAAGACGGGAAAGCACCGCCACTGAGTTCATAATACACATTTTTTGTGTACCGGCAACCGGCGCCGGCAACCGGCACCGGCACCGGCAACCGGCCGGCAACCGGCGCCGGGCACCGGCAACCGGCGCCGGCAACCGGCACCGGCGCCGGCAACCGGCCGGCCACCGGCACCACCGGCGCCGGCCATCGGTGACCGCCGCCAGCCACCGGCACCGGTAACAAACCGGTGCCCGCCACCGGCCACAGTATACCGGACCCGCGCACCGCGCACCGGAAATCAGCAACAGGGCAGCGGTAAATGTCAACTCGCCTTGAGTAATCGGGCACGGCTGCCCAGCAGCGATCATACCTTTGGACTGTCGTGTGATAAGAGCAAACGCATATGTACAATTAAGACTCAACAAAGATACAGAAAAGATATAAATAGATACACAAAGAAAGATAGATAAAGATAGACAGTTTAGATTACAATAGATTAACTGAGATTAGGCCAGGTTAGGTTAGATTAGATTAGGCTTGATAGTTAGATAGGTAGGTAGGTAGGAAGATAGAAAGATAGATAGATAGATAGATAGGTAGAGAGATCAGATAGATAGATAGATAGATAAAAGATAGGTAGATAGATAGATAGAAGTAGAGATAGATAGATAGATAGATAGATATAATAGATTTAGATGTAGATAAACAGATAAATAGATTAGATAGATAGAGATGGAGATAGACAGATAGATAGAGATAGATAATATATAGATAGACACTTAGATAGATAGAAAGATTAGTTAGGTTAGATTGAAATTTAGATAGAAATATAGAGTAGTTAGGTTGGATAGATAGAAGTATAGATAGATAGATAGATCAATCGATAGATAGCTAAATAGGTTAGGTTAGATAGGGCAGGCGCGAACCCACTGCTCTCTGTGCTCTGCACCAAGGCCATCCCCAGTGGCCAACAGCGGTCCGACCCTAAGGCAGGTCTGGGTATCACAATGCTAGCTTGGCTTGTGATATTGCCTTGGTGACACGACGTTGTTGAACAACCTTTCAGGGCAGGAATGTGTTTTTTCTTTAGGGAACAATGGCAACTGCATCCTGCTTCGTATGGTTACCGCATGTTCCAAGGAGCCACACAGCTAGCTTCAACGTGGAACTTGTACCTCGAAACGCGCAAGTTGACGACAAGCTCTGTAGAAACGGGAGGAGATGGACAAATGATTGTCCGGCTACTGCATGCACACAAATTCCTCCATGGCTTCCGTAGGGAGAATACACGCACATTGACCAGAAAATCGCACAAACTCTGTAAGAACGGCAGTCTCACTTGCTGTGTTGTTTTCTTTGAACATCTGCCGTCTGCACGCGCCATGGTGCAAGGGAGCAACGCTAAGCGTCGTGAAGACGGGCGGAAGAGACGCATCACTCTGCCCCCTACACCACCGTCTGCCGACAGCGACGCGGATGGCTTGGCGAAGACTTCAGCAGCTATGGGCCTTTAAGTGTTTTTTGTAGCAAAGCTTGCCACAAATCTGGCTGCATTTCTAAATCTCCCCTGACCGTCAAATCCAACAGGTGCAGCGGTGCTTGCGTGAGAGGAACCGCATGTCTGCGATCTGGGATCGCAGCGTGCAGCGGGGGCGGGCCAGCTGTCCTCCCAAGAGGCCAAAGCCCCCGCCCGCCCAGGCTCACGCAACCAGCCCTTCCAGCCTCTTGGCTTCACAAGCAAGGTTCTCTTCTCGTTTGCGTTATATCAGGACGTGCGTTGTGCATTTGCTGGAGGCCCCTGCAGCGATAGTGCCACGGCTGCGCCGCCAACGCCTCCCCATGGCCGATCTTAGAACCTCCGGAGAAGAGAAAGGTAGAGCACATGCCTACTGGAAGGGGCTGCTGCGCGCTGTAATGATGTAAGCTTGCTCCATCGCTCTTTGCGTCACTTGCGGGTGTCTTGAGTTTAGCGCCCCTTGCTTTTCTTGTCTTTCCCTCATTCTAACATTCAGAGACTGAGTGGGCGTCAGATTCAACATGAAGCATGCCTTTGCAAAGTTCTAGCAACATAGGGCAGGAATTTGCGGCGGGTAATTCGAATCTGAGCCGAGCTTTTGCTTTCTTCCTTGCGCCAAGGCGTGCCATGCTCAGCGACAACCGGAGCCTCCCATCAAGAGCAGCCGGGGCCCCGATGGCTCTGTTGGTTATCTGCAGAACTGGTTACAACTATAAAGGCGATGGGTATACGGAAGTACCTTTTGTCGACCCAATCAGAAAATCCATTCGCGTAGATTCTGTTTATATGGTCATTGGAGCAGCCATGACAGATAGATGCACATATATTTATACATAGGTAGATAGATAGATAGATAGAAAAGGTAGATAGATCGATAGATCGACAGATGGAAAGATAGTTTGATGGACAGATAGACACGTAGATAGATTAGTTAGTTAGTTAGATAGACAGATAGATAGGTCGATAGATAGATAGAGAGGTAGAAAGATAGATCGATAAGTCGATAACGATGGATAGATAGATAGATATATGATTAGATTAGGTTAGATTAGTTTAGATTAAATAGGATTAGATTAATTAGATGGATAGATAGATGGATGGATGGATAGATAGATAGATAGACAGATGATTGATAGATAGAGAGATAGATAGAAAGATAGATAGATAGACGGATAGATAGATAGGTAGATAGATTATTGATGGATTGGTTGATTGATTGATTGATTGATTGATTGATTTGATTTGATTTGATTTTGATTTGATTTTGCTTTGATTTGATTTGTTTTGTTTTGATTTGATTTTGCTGCTTTGATTTGATTGATTTGATTGACTGACTGACTGATTGATTCATTGATTGATTGATTGATTGATTTGATTGATTGATTGATTGATTGATTGATTGATTTGACTGATTGACTGATTTGATTTGATTTGATTTGATTTGGTTGATTGATTGATTGATTGATTGATTGACAGATTGATTTGACTGATTGACTGATTTGATTTGATTTGATTTGATTTGGTTGATTGATTGATTGATTGATTGATTGATTGATTGACAGACAGATAGGACAAGCAGACAGAGACAGACAGACGGACACCGGCCACCGGCGCACCGGCCACCGTCTCCGGCACCAGCGCCGGTAGCGGCTGCCGGGCACCGGCGCCGGTACCGGCCACCCGCGCAGCCACCGGCGCCCGCCACCAGCCACGGTGTACCGGACCAGCGCGCCGGGAATCGGCAACAGGGCAGCGGTAAATATCAACTTGTCTTAAGCAATCGGGTACGGCTGCCCAGCAGCGATCATACATTTCGACTGTCATGTGCTAAAAAGAGCAAAATGCATATGTACAGTTAGGACGCATCAAGATATAGAAATAATACAAATAGAGACACAAAGAAAGATACTTATATAAAGAAAGACAATTACAATAGATTAAATGAGATTAGCCCAGGTTAGGTTGGATTAGATCAGCCTTGACAGATAGATAGACCGATAAATAGATAGATAGATAGATGGACAGGTAAATAAAGTTAGATAGATAGAAAGGTAGAATGATAGATAGATTGATAGACACATAGATAGATAGGACAGACAGACGGACACAGACAGACCGACACCGGTCACCGGCACCGGCCACCGGCACCGGCGCCGGCCACCGTCTCCCGCACCGGCAGCCGCTGCCGGCAACGGTGCCAGCCACCGGCCACCGGCACCGGCATCCGGCACCGGCACCGGCAACGACAAAAAAAGTATATACTCACTGAGTTGCCTTGTAACAAACAAAGGCAAATCAACAGAGTTCCCTTATAAGCGCATCTATATATATAATAGTTTACACACACAACACCGATAAGTTTAACAATTAGACAAAGCAACTACTCGATTCATGTTTATAACAGTTTGAGTAAAACCCTGTCCACCAAAATCTCGAGTTACCCAATTTGTCCAGTAGGAATTAACTGTCTATATAGACATATATATAGACTGAGCTCTAGGGCCGCACTGGGCACTGGTCCCAGTCCAAACCTTGCTCTTTCCGCCGTTGCCCGGGCCGCTGAGCATCCAGGACCTCCTCGCAGCACTGTAGCTGCCCCGCCGGGCGAGCTTGGAGATGTCCGAAGGATTTTTGAAGCCCCAACATGGGGACTGTTGATGAAGAACACCTTCCAGAATTTGGAGGTATAATGAGGTATAACATCGTATTACAATTTTGTGGTAGGGGGTGAGGGGTTTTCAATCAGCAGTCTCAGCATCCCCTTTTTGCCCATGGGTGTGTCCCTCAGTGTTTGGGAGGCTCTGGGAGGTGCCACGACACCCGTTCCGATCCGCCGGTTGGACTCGGACCGCGACCCGTCACGCGCGACCCGTTCGGCCCCAAACACCGAACACGCTGGGGCCCTTGGGACCGACGCGAATCCGGATGGTCCGATCCTCCTGGGGTCGCGTGCGTCGGGTACCTTCGGCCATCCTTCACTGGGATGTTTTGCTCCAGCGTGGTTGCACAGGACGGAGTTCCGAACTTGGAAACCCACATCATCCATGTGACCATGGCATGACCATGGCCATGACCATGTAAACCCGAGGCGTTCTATTATGAGCAGCGGAATGCGCTCGATGAGCTGCTGTGCGGAGCTCCAGAGGGGCGGGCGTAGGGGTTTCGCTCGAGCGGTTTCACATGCGGTTTCGAGGGGTTTCCAGATCTCAAGGCCTCACCAATCGACAGAAAACCCCCCCATGGACTCCAGACATGTTTTTTCCCTCAGCCAACGGCGAACGCCTGTGACGATACGTGAATGAATGCTCCAGACTCCAGACATCTCCCGTCGGTTCACAAAAGACCATGGGCGCCATGAAGCCATGATGTCCATGAAGACGCTCCAATCACTGATTCACCCCCGAACACTGAACGTCCCTACCCAGGAAGAAGTATACATGACCTCTGCCAGGACCCTCCAAGGGTTGTCTATTTATAGCCCCTTTGCTGTGATTCGGGGTGTCCACTACCCACCCCTTGTAGGGGATGTGGCACACCGAGCTCCAAACCAAGAGGTGGAAAGCAGCTCGGCACAGACCGTGGAGAACACTCGGCCGCTCGGCTCAGCTCGGCCGTGTTCGGCGAGCGGCAAGACATCAGGTCCTGTGAGCTGTGTCCGAACCACTCCTCGGTGGTGGGATCAGCGACGGACGGCCGACAGGACGGACGTCCGGATGGTGGGACGCGGATGGGACATCGTGGGACAGGCCATGGAAGCTCAGGCCATGTAGACTCTTGATTAACAACCCACCAAATTGGACATCCTCTGAAATATGGGGGGTTATTAATCAAGAGTCTACATTACTCAAGTTTCAATGGATCAGTTATGACATGCTATCACATGTTATCACTAGCACTGGTGACAGATTGTCACTCTGAACAGAGTTGCTCAATTGTGCTTCTCGATAGATGTAATCAGTCATGTGGTCAATGCGTTATATAAATCTTAGATAGTTTTAAGATGTTTTAATATATTTATTACATAATTTTGCTCTTAGTTTTTTAGTATACGGCACGTATATTTTCTCGCGTCGACCTTATATACTTGTAAAGAACAACCATTCCCAGGGGCCCCATTGCTCCATGTCCAATGTCCAAACAGACCTTTCTATCTAAGCCTTTTCCACCAAGCTTTTCTTGTATCTGCAACCCTGCGGGAGGGGAGGAAGACTCCCATCACCTGAACTGGCGCCGAGTGGAAGGTGATGTTTGGTGTGACAGCCCGAATCACTCGCCGAGTTCAGGGAGAAACCTCTCAAGGTCCCGGACCCCTATGAGGCCCTTGCCCTTCACGGCCGACGAGACCAAACGGCCAGGACTGCCAATGTGATGAGGGCTACGTTGAGGTGGAAGAACACGGCCACACGGCAGGAGAACAGACACCGTCGCTGGGCGGGGTTCGGGGGCGGGTTCGGGATGGATTTTGGGCGGTTGAAGCTGGAACAGTTCCATCTACTCGAACCCGCTGGCGACCACCGTGAAAAACAGAGCGTCAGAGCAGGCTTCTTTTTCAGATAAAAGTTAAGAAAACCAGTATCAGATCTCATCAATCAAGCATATTGTGCCTACGCCAGAGTGACTAATTCTACATCTACTGCAATCTATACATAGCACGAGAGTTGGTGTGTTTTGACACTACTGATTCTAGGTTTCAGGAGCAGCTGCCGTCCACTTCCACGTTGGTTGGATACAGGGAGCAGCTGCCGAGCCTCTTTCGGATCATCTGCCGGAGCGTCGACTTGCCCGGACCAACTTCCCAATCCACTGGTGACAGACGGATGCCCCTTCCACCAGGCTTCGACATCTTCGACTTTTGGGCGACAGTATCCAATGTTTTCAGAAATTACTAGCAAAGGCTCGGGGTTGCACACGTTCCGGGTGTATTTTGGGGGAGCGTTTCTGGCCCTCGTTGAATGACTCGCTGACCCCCCTCACTGCTCACGCACTCTGCACCGGTGAGGTGTCGAGCGGTGTCGCCCAGCAGATCCCTGCAACGTGAGCGACCTCTTGGAGAACCTCACAGGTGCTCCGGGAGCCGGAAGCTCTTCGCGCGGCGGCGGGGTCCTCGCGGCCCTGCGACTGAGGTGTCGACCAGGGGCCCGACCTGAGGCCTTTTCTCCACAGGGAACTGGAACGATATGATTGATGGATATTGATGGTCAATTAGAGGTTGTTTGAGTAATGGGGCAAAACCAAATTCAATCAGACACCCTCATGACCCCTTGGTTCTTACGTATGATTTGCACAAGTGGTGTCCTCCTAGAATTCAAGCATGTGTTGAACATGTTGTGCGTTCAACTGGGTCAATTCATGGATTGGATCTTCACCGCCGAATCCATCTCTAGTAGAAGAAGGTGAGAAGGCCCCGAAGAAACATGGTCGTACAACAGACCATCCATTTTAAAGTGGTCCTTGAGTTAGGCAGGTTGAAATCATCACTGAAGTGTGTCCATGGCCATGTGAACGAGTGATGCGCCACGCAGTGTATACATCCCACGGCGGGCCCCTGCTTGACCCGCCGCCATGTTTGTTCTACGCCTCTGTGATCAGTGCCAATCATACCCGCGAGAATCTCCAAAAGTTTGCATCCTCGGAGTGTAGTGACACGCCACCGACGGGTCCTCGGAGTGAGTGAAGGGGGGGGAATCTTTGGAACAGGGCCTGAGGACTACAAGCTGAAGGTTGGAAGCTGCCGGGGCCCCAAAGTCAACTGGGCTGGGTCTGACAAGGATTGACGGAGCGACACGTTCTCTTTTCTCGTCGACGCGCGTGTGAAGATTTGTTGCGGTGATTTTTCGTTGTAGCTTGACGAGAGTTTTTGCATTGCACTTTGCATCAGGATCAATGTGTTTGGTGTTTTTTTGCAGCACCAAGTTGGTTTTTGACGGAGTGTTGTGTGTGGAAGGCGACAAACCTGTAGTTTACAAAAGTTTACAGCAGATGTCGAGATGTCCCGTTAAACGTGTAGGCCCTTGTGGGCAGTATATATTTATATATCGTGACAGTTCCACCATAAACGTGCAACGTGTCCTTTGGTGAGCAACATTGCGCACTTTCATGGCCATGTTTAGTTGTGAATTGTGAAATTTCATATTGTTTCAATTTGTTTCATAAGTTTTTGTGACATTTCATATTTGAATGTGCTGCTCCAATTTGGAATCATTGTGAGTTGCGTTGAACGAGTTCTGTACTGAGGCGATACATATGCTGAGACCTCCATGCTCCCCAGCGGGAAGCAATGCAGTCTCCTTTGTGCCGCTGGCTTGGGAGCGCAGGCGCTGGCAGCGAAACGGGCGCCGCGGCACCCATTCACACGCCTAGACTACAAGAAACACCGTTGATGTTGGGCCAAATCGAGACGTACCAGAGCAGAGCAAAAAGAATCAACCACTAAGTTTTGTTGTTTCTTTTTTTGTGGAGATCACGGAGCATTCATAATAACAATACAGTGGTTTCAGCGTGGATGGCACAAACCCAAAGTTGTCTTGAAACATAGGGGTCCATATATGGCCAATTGGGGATTGTGCTATTTACTCTGAAACCACTGTAAAGGAAAACATCGCAAATCCATGCAAATCCACACCGTGCTTTATAGATCTTTGTAGCGTGTGACTGGACCTCAGATGAAAACTATAATACTAAAGCGCGATAACATCGTAACATCTATATCTAGTTTATTTATATCTATTATCTATCGATCTATTAGAGGACTAAGTCTTGTCAACTAACTACCTTCTACCCCGCGCCCTCCGGCCCGAGTCACTCGCCCCGCCGAATCAGCTGGGCTCCGACATCTTCCGGGCCATTGATCTCACGATCGCGTGCCAGGCACAGGGAATGGACGGAACCGGCGGTGGTTTGGGTTTTTTCGCCGGGGTCGTCGGGTGAGAAAGAGTGGGATTGTGCCACGGAGGTTTTGGAAGTGAAGAGCACCATCTGGGTGACTGCCTTTCAGAGAGTCTTGGAATCGAAGAATTCTAGAGGTGCTTGACGTTTTGATCAACCATGTCCAAGGAATCAGAGTGGCTGAAGCCGTGAGACATCCTCACTTTTGAACCAGGGTTCAAGTGGGTTTCGGGTTTTGGGGGTGAAGCCCTCGCGTTGCAGCTTTGGCTACTCCAAGCTCAACACTAGCAGCATCCAAAAGATGAGTTCCAGCTGTGAAAGCAACCTGGGCTCACCTTTAAGGAGCAAGGACGCTAATTACTAGCGGCGCTCCTGGCATCGCTACTAGGAACAAGAAGCTACTAGGAACAATGGGCATGGCTACTATCGTAGGAGCAAGGACGCTACTAGGGGCGCTCCCGGCCATCCTACTACCTGACCTTCCGTGTCTTGGTCGCCCTCCAGCCCCGGGACTTCGTCCGGTCGGATCTGACCGGGGATCTGACTCAGGATGGTGTCCTGGAGAGAAGACCGCCAGAGGGCTATGTGTGGTGCGGAGCCCCGAACAAGAGCAGCCAGAGTTGTGCCACTGGAGGAACCCATCAAGTCCTAGCGGCATTGATAGATCAAGCAAAAACAGAATCAAAAGCGAGAATGCGAGTATAGGTCCCCTGGTTCTTTCCCCTGCGCGACCTCTGCAAAACAAAACAGATACCCGGTTGCCGTGGTCCTTGTGTCGCTTCTAGGGTGCCCTTGTTTGATGGGGCAATGGGGTGGGTAGTTTTCGATGATGATCAACAATGTGGTGTCTTTTGATTCTTGGTTCGCTCTGGGGTGGGGGGCAGCCGCTGCGCCCCCCAACCCCCTTCCAGCGCCACGAAATCTGCACTGCTTTTGCCAATGCGCTGCGCCTGCCATTACAGATTTGTTCAAGGTCATCCATCGCATCTCCACACCAAATATTGGGCCCTCACCTAAGTTGCTTTATGTTCGCGATTATGTGTTGCACATATTCTTTCATTGTCCTTTGGTGGATGATAGGCCCCCTTTGCCATGTCCAACATTTCTGTCCTTTCGTTCTCTTTGTGTTTCTTTGTGTTTTGGTTTGCTCTGTGGGGGGACTGCCTGATCCTTTTGTCGCCCGCCGTGCTGCTGCTGTCCTTTTCCTATTGTTGTTTTCCTTTCATTGCTCACTGGGTATTTGTTTAAGCATGTATTATTCTGGTTGATCCCGGTCGAACTTGTTATATAATTTAGGTTGCGCTGTTTTTCTTGATCCCTCACCCGTCCTAGCACTAGCCAATAGTTGGTTGAACGACAAATATTGATAGAACTAACCAACCAGCCAAACAAACAAACAACCAACCAACCACCCACCCACCCACCCGGCCAACCAGCCAGCCATCCAGCCATCCAGCCAGCCAACCAACCCACCAACCCACCAACACCCCCACTCACCAGCCAGCTAGATAGCAACTACACTCAATCTTGACACAATACCCTGACTTCCTATTGTGACAAACTACCACTCCTCGCCTGCGACTCTGAGGTATGTCTATCGAAACAATGGCATGGACATTCATTCCCTACGCGATTTTGCCCAGATGGAGGGTTTTCAAGTGATCCATGATGATTCATCATGTGTTTATTGAAAGATAATCTCCAAACTCCAAACTATGTTAAACAACTTGCATCGAACAGCACATGAATGTCCCAGTCCTTTCATGTTCAAAAGTTCCAATCAGTCACCTGAAAAAACACAACACACATTTAAAAAAAAACGTTTTGACATAAGATACGCAAGTAGCTCATTTGCCTTAGAAAGGCGCTTTCCCCCCTTTTTTTGCCAAACGCAGAAGCGAAAAGCTCCCAATTCGGACGGACGTTCGCCCAAAGAGCGAAGCACGTTCGCCCGGGCGTCTTTCGCCGGTGCGTCTCGGTTGCTCCGTTCGGTTTCGGTGCTTCTTCCCTCGTCGCTGAGGTGTTCGGAGGCGTCCTGGGAGGTGCCTCCCTTGGTCTTCTTAGGCGACCGTCGAGGGCGACCCGGGCGGGACTGGACCGGACGCGTGCTTCGCTCCGTGCGACGGGGGGGAGCGCAAAGGCGCTCGTCCGCTTGACGGTGGGACGGGAGAGAAAGAGGATCAACAACAGAACACATGGTATGTGTTTCTTTGTTTGTTTTTGTGTGTATTTCTGATTTGTCACTTCCAGGTTTGTTCAAATGACATGTACGGGGACGGGCTATTCTTCACATTTCATGACCCACGACTTCCCAATTTCAGTTGGCGGCCAGCAGCATCCATCGACGGCATTTGTGTTTGGCGGCCATGCAGTTTGTCAGCGTGTGATTCTGTCAGATGGTGACCACCCCGATCTCAATGGACTTCTGAATCCCGATGGCCGATGGATGAAAACTCCACATCTGACCAAACAGATCGGCATAGGCCTCGCTCTGGCAGGCTTAACCACGATGGCCACCATCCTGGGAGCAGCTGTCAGTTGCTCAGTGTGGTGCAGTTTCTTGGCCGGGCTGGGGCAACGGTAGCCTTCTCACAGGCGAACCGAGGATAACCCAGGTGCAGAATGGTGGAGATGTGGGCTAGTATTTTAATCGATGTTCATAAGTGAGGCTCCCTGGCCCAATTGTTTGAAGTGTCATTATATTATATTATATGTTAACCTTTTCGCTGGAATCTGTACCAACACAAGTCAAGGAGATTCTTGAAGACTAATGGAAACTGGACACATTCAAGTCACTCCATCACTCCTGACATGTTGATGGCTGGTTCTGTCAAGGAAGAATAGACCTCGGAGGTATGTCTAGGATTTGTCCCGTTACCAGTCGGCAAAGGCTTATCACTGTTTTGGGGAAACGATGGGAAACGTCTTTTTTAACCATCCGTCAGCATACACAAATTCTTACAGTGGCAGAGGTCACGTCTAACCATTGTAGATAAGCTGTTGCTAGCCATCATATGTTGTCATTATTCACATATTCATACTATTGTCACTTCTAACCACTGTAGATAAAGTGTTTTATGTAACATCCTCATCCTCATCATCATCCTCATCCTCATCCTCGTCATCATCAACAACATCATCAACATCAACATCAACATCAACATCAACAACATCCACATGGAAGTCTGTGGTTGCTAAATGTGTGAGCTGGATCTACTTGCTCTCCGAACTTTTTGCGGAAAGTCAAAAAGTAGTCGACCTCCGCGAAAAGTCGAAAAGTCTCGAAAAGTCGAAAAGTCTCGCTGCGTGCTGTCGTTTCCTTTACCTTTTTGACTTTTCGACTTTTCTCACTTTTTGACTTTTTGCGTGTTGCTTGGTGTCTTGCAAATAGATCGTCGCTAAAGGATCTAGCGAGCTTAGTAGTCATACACTGTACATCCACCAAGGACCACCGAGCACCGCTGGTCCTCGTCGCGTCGCGACGAGGCCCTCGAGGTGCGTCAGAACCACTTCGAGCGGCAATATGTTGGAGAGCCGAGCGGGGCAGAAGAGGAGGTTGACGGTAATGTAGACTCTGGATTAGTAACCCCCCTGTATGAAGAGGATGTTCCAATTCAATTAAGGGAGGCTATTGATGAAGAGTCTACATTAAAGCATGGTAGAGCGCAAAGATCCTTCCTTCCCCCTGGATTGACTGTACTCGTATGGATTGATTGGGTTGGTGGGTTTCTCAGTGGGTTGGGTTAGCAAAGACTGAAACCCAACATCAAACGAACCAACTTTGATTTTGATGTAGGGTTTTAGTCTTTTATAGTTTTTTGCTTGGTTTGTTTGTTTGATGTTGTGGTTTTAGTTAGTGGGTTGGGTGGCTGGGTCTTTGGGTAATTGATGGACGTCCTCATATATTCCCTAGGACTCCTGGGGCCCCGGACTCCTCAGCTATCGGTGGACTTCGACCCCTATCGCAGCACCCACCCACCCCAACCACCTTCCAACACCTGGGGATCTGGGCCGGATCGGAGCCCAGCGATGATCGATGACGACGACCGAGTCAATCCGACCACGGCGGCGGTCGTCCCGTGGCGTCGCGGTGACGCGACGACTGGAACGTGTAGGAAATGGAACTCCAAGAAGCCATTGACTTGGAACCAACACCATTCTTTTTGGGTTGTTTGATGTTGTTTGGGATTTCCAGACAAGTTAACAAAGTATGACACATAGTTTTCCAGATGGGATATGTTTTCATGGAAGAGCCACGAACCGGCCCACCCGGGAGCAATGTGGTCAGATACATGCCAGCCCAGTAGGTTGACAAGCGACACAAGTCTTCGAATAGAACGCATGAGGAAATTTGTCTTAAATCCTGTTATACATGTTTATATATACTATGTTTATGTTTATATATATATATATATCAATTACCAGGGGCCCCACAAACCATCAAAAAAACATGGTTTTTGTATATGAAAACCTGTGTTTGTTTTGTTTTAATGGTTTGAGGGCCCCTGGTAGGGGACACGTGCAGTTCCCAAAAAACCTTGGTACTCCAAAGCCACAGGACCCCCGCGGCCTCGGCCCGATGTCGTGGGTCCCGCCTGGGTGATTCCGCCGGTGCGTCGATGTTCGACGATGGGTTGGACCTACTCAGCTGGGTATATGACCCAGACACGACCTGTCTGGGACTGCCAGTCACTGCAGAAACGGCCAGGGGTGGTTGATTTCAGGGGTCAATGTAGACATATATATACCATACATGGAGTGTCTGGGTTAGGTAAATTCCTATTCCACTTCTTCTGGGGCAATAGTTGTTTTCTTTTTCACCAGTTCCTTAGGCAAATTTCCAAGTGAAGTGGTATTGAAGAGCAAATCCAAAGCAATCACCAGACACGACCAATGGGGCAGATTCACCAATCAGTGTGGTTGACCCAGGGTCAATCCAGGCATATGTTCCATACATGGAGTGTGTGAGATTGTCCAACCAAACCACGGCCATATCATATCATATCGTATCATATCATCAAACAACCCTGCCTAGTTCTTCTAAGTGACCTTTTGATTATTGTGGTCTAAGATCACTTAAGCCTCCCATGGGTCACTTAGGAACCCTCAAAGGTCACTTTGAAGCTGGCCATCCAAATCCCGTCTTGGCCGCGGCCTAAAATACCAAGGCCAAAGCCCTTCGCGGGTGGTGACGCGCCGAGAATTGCTGCGATTCCGGCAGAATCCACGCCCACATGTTCAGGGCTCCAGCGATTCATTTCCACTCGTCAGTGACTTTGGGGTGGTAAATCCAACTTCCCCCAGCGATTTTTTCTGGATGTCTCCGTCCCACAGAATTTGGACTGAATGCATCCAGAAGCGTGCTTGCTTGGCTTTGTTATGCTTTGCTTGGCTTTGCTTTGATTTGCTTTGTTTTGCCTTGATTTACTTTGATTTGATTTGACTTGCTTTGCTTTGCTTGCTTTGCTTGCTTGCTTTCTTTCTTTCTTTGATCAACTCAACGCAGTCTGAACATCCGGACTCATCCGGTCTCTCAGAAAGGTTCGCCGAAAGACTTGCTTGGAAGGTTCGCAGCGTTCAGAGAGGTTCAGGCTTAACGGTTGTACAATTCGGCTCAGGCTTGTTGCGGAAAAAGACGCACACGATCGGTGAACCGAGCTCCAGTTCGACTTGAGTTGCTCGGAATCCGAAGAGACTGAACGTCAAAGGGCTGGTTTTTACAAGAGATCATCCAGGGGAATTCCAAGCAAGATCAACTGTCAAGAGATCCACGGGAATTCCTGGCTCCAACAGGCTCCAACGGTATATTCTTCACATTCTTGCAGATTGCTCGAAGAGATTCTTGATCTTGTCAATGCCTGGAGCAGATAGCACCTGCAGCCGGATCATGCTTTTCTTCCCAGCCTGTGGGGGGATCCAGTGGATTCTATCTGACTGAGTCCATCATCAGGTAAATGACCTTCCAAACATGTTGCATCCCAAAAACCCAGAACCGACGTCGTGTCCATCCGGGTGAAAACGCAGCGGGGTTCAGATCGGAAAGCAGCGGTCGTTTCACCCGATTCGGAGGGAATTTCAGGTCTTTCACGCCCAAAACCATCCATTTGGCCCCTGAGTCCTTCTCAATAGCAGAGTTGGCTCGGCTGGGTACTTCATCAGTCTTACCTGAACGTCCTTCACGAGATCACCAGATCTCGTTGTGGCCGGCACAAGTGGCGGCCACCTCGGCACTCGACCTGCGACCCGCACGACCTCCACGGAGGAGGAGAGTGCCGGTCCTTGCAGTGGTCCCATGTGGCAGTCCCAAGGCTGCGAACGGTGAGTTCGCTGCATGAAATATGAAGTGACAAGCTAGATTTGCGTAAGGGCAGATGATTAAGGTTTGGTGAACGGTTAATGTTGGATCCTGATTAGTAAAGGGGGTCCCCCCTCCCTCAAACAAATAGGGGACCCTTGATAATAAACTACCACCAAAAAAAACCTGGATTCCTGTGAGGATTCCTTTTTGTACTTGATTCTAGTATTCATTTTCCTTTCATAGATTGTATATCAGCTAATGAATCATAATCATTGGCCTCAGGAGCTAAGTAAAGGAA